GTTCATCCAGCTTTGAACATTTACTAGGGTGCTTTAGTAAGCCTCATGTGATAAGGTTTTGTGCAAATTTGTAGAAAGTATAAAAGTTATTTCTGTGGTTGTGATTTTTATCTTTTATTTTTTTTGTCCCCCCCCCCCCCCCCCCCACCACACAGTATCTTGAGACAATGCTTAGCCCAAGTGGGCGACGTAGTTCGCAGACCCCTACCACCTCAACATTCTCGTTACGGGCTCGGAAGAGAAAGAGGTTACGTGAAGCTATGTCGAAACTGGTACAGAATGAATCGCCGGCTCTGCACAAAAGGCGGTCGTCTGTCAGTGATGCAGGCCTGCTGAGCACGAGTGGCTCCTTCTTAGACTGCACCATCAGCCCTGAAAAGCAGCCTGATGGTATGTTTCATGTATACTTTTTGTTACCGCGTAGGAATTGGGTAATGCTACTTCAGTCAATTTTATGTGAAACGCACCAGAAGTGAACTATGTATTATTCCTTTCTCTGAAAAGAAGGCCCCTGAGGTTGTAAGATCAATGCTAGTGTTGTAAACAAGAGAGTAGAATTTGGAAATTATATTTAAAATACGCTAATAATATGCTGATTCGCTGATTAAAAAACAGGAATGAAGTACAGTAAACTACTGATTATCTCAGCATTTTTCAGTGTAGCACCAGAAGATGAATACATTTGTCTATAAATTATAATTGTAACGGTAGTGTTGAGGCTGGTTATGTTTTTAATTGCGGAAAGATATCATTTTTGGGCAGAAGTTACGAGTGAAGTTGAAAAGTGTAATTCGGATATTTTTGTGAACAGAAGTAGAAGCAGTAAGAGGTGAAACACCAAGGAAGATCCAAAGTCCGAGACACCAAGTGTTCGCAGAATTGGTTCAGACAGAGTCTAACTATGTGGGTATTCTTCATACCATCATGTCTGTAAGTATTAAGACTAACCTACTTTGCACAAAGTGTCTCCCAGAATTACGGAATGTATTGTCTCGGTGGTTACCTCTTCTGCTTCATATGTGGGAGGATCTGGGTTTGAATCTTTGCCTAGAAACTGGATGTCATGTTAGGTTTTTTAAGTACTTTTAAGAATTTACATGTCAGTTTAATCTGACTGTGAGTCTACATTAGAAAATTTAAATTCCTATATCTTACAAATTAAATAAAACCACTTCAATGACCCACTTGTTATATTTTTGTTCCTTATATAATTTTCCTGCTATGATGTAACTCAATAACATTGTTAGCAGAAGAATGTAGGAACCTGAAGACGGAGATAGAGTCCCATCTCCGGGACGTCGTTTTACGTTTTATATTTACTAGACGATGGATAATATCCAAGGAAATTTTTATTCGACGGAGATAGGGATTAGCTCTATCTAGTGGGCCCAACTGTGTAGGAACCTGAAGACGGAGATAGAGTCCCATCTCCGGGACGTCGTTTTACGTTTTATATTTACTAGACGATGGATAATATCCAAGGAAATTTTTTATTCAATCGACTCTTCACCATCGTCAAGAAGTTTTAGATTTGGTAATTCTTGAAGTTCGTTATTGTATAATATTCTGCAGGATGGCTGAGAAGTCACTGTTTCCCTACTTATCTTGCTGTGTGGATCTGTATGTACACACTGTATACCGTGGTATACTGAAATTCAAAGGTGGCAACAGTGTCAATTGCATGAGCTCGCAGGACATTGTCAAAGCGGTCAGTTATTGTGTTGCGACTATCACCGACACGTGCAGGTATTGAGTTGAGCGGTTAATAGCGAACATGCGGGTGCACAAAGGTTCTCTCAAGGTTCTCATCACCGATGATTGTGAAATTTGTCGCAGTAGCCTTGAGAGAAATGTGTTTTTTATTTAAGGAAAATTCAAATTTTATGGCACAGTTACCACATGTGATGTGGACCGGTATGACAGGAAGTCATTTGATTGACCCCATATTTATCTGACGGACCTGTTAATGCCACATCTTACGCAGAAATGTTTGAGGCCTGGTTAATACCAGAGCTTAGAGACAGAGGAATCATGGAAGGCGTGTGGCTGCAAAACGATAGTGCACCTGCACGTTTTGCCCATACTGTGCGTGACATTTTGAATGAACATTTTCCAGGCCGTTGGATTGGCCATGGTTCACCAACATCTCCCACGCCATTGCCCTGGCCACCATTTAGTCCTGATCTTACCACACTGGACAACTTTTTTGTGGAGCATTATCAAGGGAAAAGTGACCGTGCGCTACTGTCGCGACCATAACGAGTTGTAGAACAGGCATTTGTCACCATTACGCCACAAATGCTTCAGCACATGTCTCATGGAACATAGCAGTGCATCAGGCTGTGTTTCAAATACAACCGTGCACATACAGATCCACTTGATGTTCAGTGACTCTTACCACATGGTAAGTTAAGTAGTGATATGGTGGCTTCTCAGACAGGCAGACACATACACACACAAGGACAAATATATTCACATGTACAGGATAGGAATTATATTCATGCCCACTCCTTGCTCCAACCATCAGCTCCGTCAAAGTAACTACCTGCATACTGTCTGCCCTAAAAAAAACCCATCCAGAACTTACCCTACTTCACATTCACCCTGAAGATGGCAACTGGATTATGTGCTGAAACGACTCGACATTTAAAGGTGGCGACTGACTTGTAACATTTGCCTGTAATGTAACGTGTTACAAATCGAGCATTACACAAGTGAAGACAGCGAACGGAGCCGCTCGATGCGAGCCGCTCACGCTCGCGAGTGCTCCATCGTGTTGTCGGTTTTTTTGCGAATCCCTTTGAGTGTTACATTACAAGTCAGTCAGTCAGTCAAGCGGCGTCGTAACGAACATTCACGAGTTCTTTAGATAAGAGTAGCGTATTAAATGAAACAAAGATAACACAACCTCCACGTCCGACATATTGAATGAAATGAATGGAGCACACACGAGCCGAGCGTTCAAAACGAGCTTTCGATACGCCTCACCAGATGTGGTGTAATGTAACATGCTCGCCGCGAATGTTACATTACGAGTAAATGTTACAAGTCAGTCGCCACCTTAATGTGGCTGACATACAAACTCCAGCCGTGAAAACCTAAGGACAAGAATTTTATATTTGTGGTTGTCAGTTGTCCAGGCATGTGCTAAGGTAGTGACCGATTACTTCCATAGTCTTTTCCCATTTCGTACTTGTTAATCACCATATTTTTCACTGCTGTTTTGTTTGAGATATTTAAGTGTCATTAAATAAACCACTAATGAATAAAGAAGTCTTTCAAGCTGTGATGTAGAGCAGGTGCTGTAGTTCTGTTTATTTGGTGGGCAGATGTTTAAGCAACCTTTGGAAGACTTGAGCGAATCAGAAGGCCAGTTACTGAACAACACAGAACTGAAGATCATCTTTGGAAATCTTCCTCGTATCTATGAAGTGCATAAACAAATGTTGGAGGAGCTCTGTTGGAGTGCATCTAACTGGAAGGAAGACTTAAGCATTGGAAAGGTGTTCCTTAAATATGTAAGTTCAATAACAAATTTAAATTTTAGAAACAACCTCCAAAAACTTGGAGCCATGGGGGAGGGGGGTGCTTGGAGTGCTCATTTTTATTGACAGGACAGCGGAGACATGTCAGTAATATGTAATACACTTAAATTTTCATCCGCTGCTTCAGGTATGAGGCATATCTTAAATCCCTTGACTACTAGTTCTGGAGAGATCTGTTCCTATGATGTCTTGGTCGACTGGCATGACAGTGCTTCACTACACTTATTCATTTTCCCATTCATACATATTTATTACATTCCATGGATTCGTAAGTTAGTCAGGATGTGGAATAAGTTTTAATGATACAATGCATATTATAAGTACAATTCATACTGTTATAAAATTTCACATGTCAACAAAGGGTTTGCATAATTGGCGATATGTTTCATATAATAAAATCTTCTCGGGTGACAAGCCGCGTCAAGATGGAGCCGTAGTCCACTTCAGAGACACTCCGTCTCCATCATCATTCCCTGATGATGGAAACAGAGATTGTCTCTGAAATGTTGGAATACGGCTCCATCTTGACGCGGCTTGTCACCCGAGAAGATTTTATTACATTTGCCGTGAAAGCTTCAAGTCATATGTGTTTCATATACATTATGTGAAGTAAATAAATTGATATTACCCATTTATATTACATTAAGAAAATATAACTATAATGAACATTATGACATTTCTGAACATTAAAAATTCATCGAGAGAGTAAAAGAAGTGTGTAATTAAGTGTCTTTTTAATGCTACTTTAAATTGTGTTCATACATATATTTATTCTTCAAGTCTATACACAAACTATATTAATATTGATGTTAAAAATTAAAATTGATATAAATATTTCGCGCTATTCATCATTTCCTCGATGTTACAATTTGCAACTTGAAGAATAAATATATGTATGAATTGAATACACAAACATGACGCATCTAAACTATAAATTTAAATTGTGTGTTTTTATTTAGAAGTCATGTGAGACTTGGTCGTAAATTATTGAAAATGTTGATGCTTGTAAAATATGCACTCGTCTGAAAACAAGAGAGGATATGTATTTGCATGGAAAAACTAAAATCTCTAATCCCTTGAATAGACTTACACATGAATTCATGTGTGTGTGGTTTCCTTGAATAATAAGGAGTTCTGTGTAAAGATAAGACTGTTTTTAAGGGATACTGTATGTACTTTGTTCATTCTTTGTCAAATAATATGTGGGATCAGGGTGAGAAAGATATACGTGTACAAGTATTTGCATTATATAGGAAATGATAACTGTTTCAGACATCACTCCTTAGTTTTATTTCTGTTTAAAATTGAAAGTGTTTATATAGATTTCTGGCGCTCTTTCAGGCACCTGACTTGATAAAGGCATACCCACCATTTGTTAATTTCTTTGAGAACACCAAAGAGATGCTGGTGAAGTGTGACCAGACAAAGCCACGGTTCCATGCGTTCTTGAAGATCTGTCAAACTAAACCAGAGTGTGGTCGGCAGAGCCTGCAGGAGCTTTTGATCCGCCCTGTTCAGCGCCTTCCTAGTATCAGCCTTTTATTAAATGGTGAGTGTTATGTGGACGGCCCAGTTAAATTAAAAAAGACAGTTTAGTCTTGTAGTGAATATACAGGGTCTTTTTAAAAAATTTCCAGTTTTAATTGCATATAATTACCTAAATAGTATTAAAAATATATTAAAATTGGCCGTCAATCACAATATAAGATAATTAAAAGATTAAAATATCATTTTACGTTCCGTATCGAGTACTCGATTTACATGTGGAACATTTACGACATGTTTCGGCTATATATAGCCGTCATCAGGTGTTATGTTATAAACTTTTTAACTGAATTACTGATTTTTAATGATTTTTAGTTTTCATTTTTCTTATCATGTTCACGTCCTTCATATTGTATCTTCATCCGTTGTTGTGTCACAAGTCACTAATATGATTGTATTTCGTAGTGATGCCAATGTTGTGTATATTGGACTGTGAAGTAAAGGTTTCAATACTATTAATTACCTAACTTAATAGTAAACCTCATTGTACTTAATGTGTCTGAGTTCAATGGACTTGGGAGAATGATCGCCCAGCCCATAGCTAGTCTCTATACTGACTGAGCTATCCCGGCTCATAGAATTAGTGGTACACCAGCGAAAAAGGTTGAGAACCCCTGTTCTAGAGGTCAGTGCAGTGGTACTCTGAAGTATATGATTTAATGTTGAGGCCCATTTTCATTTGCATGGCTATACATAACATAACGGAGGCACTGTTACACTCCAAAAATTCATGCTGTGGCGCCCTCTGTCAACAAGCATCATTTAACTTTGTTGGGGGATGCAGTCACACTGTAATGGTGCCAATGTCATAAAAACATAACATACACTCGTCACCCTTCAGAATCCACCGAGAAGAGTGCTGTCAACATTTAATACATTTTATTCCAGGTTATACTGTATGTGATGTGAGTGTGGGGGTGTATGAAATAGCTATTATTTATTTAATATTTGACCTGCTGAAGGATCTGTATTGTAGACAAAGTTTGCTTTGTTGGAAATAAAATTTAGTGATGCTGTAACATTTGTTTATTTTGTGTCGATCTTGTATTATGGCTGCTGTATATCCAGTTAACTTTGGTTCTGGAATGTGAATTACAGATATTCTTAAGCACACCAATAAGAACAACCAGGACTACAGTGCACTGGAGCAAGCTCTGAGTAGCATACGAGAAGTGATGACTCACATTAACGAGGACAAGCGCAAGACTGAGGGCCAGCTTGTTATGTTCGACATTTTCAATGATATAGACAACTGCCCTGTAAGTTTTCTGTTGACTGTATATCCTACATGTCTGTATTGCACTAATTGGACCTAGAAATTAATTGTATATATAGGTATCCCAAAAAGATGTATACACACATTCAGTGGATGAATTAAAGACATTTTAATAAACTGAACAATTACACGTGTCAGCACTGGAACTTTGTGAATTAGTGAATCTAGTGTAGGTGTTCAAAATGATCTCTGTTAGTTTCTTGGCACAGTTGACAGCAGTGAGCAACTGACTGACAAGCGGCCACCAAAGTTGCTGATGTGAATGAAGTAGAAATTTGTTTTAACTAAAAAATGTAGTTGAAGAGACTTTAAACTTCTCAATGGTTACTTTAACACTGAAAGTATAATTATGAGTTAAAATACTGTGTGAAGTAACATCAGATAATTGATATCTTTTAAAACAATGTGTAGAGTGTTTTGGAATAAATTTACAGCAATTTTAGGATAAATGTGAATTACAGTCGTTAACATACTGTGAGTTTAAGAAAATGGCCCCCTGACTGACTGACTACATCAAATAATTTTTTGTGGCTTAAATAATATTTGAAAGGGAATACCACGTGATAGTTTAGTACAATCAGTGTTTGTGTTGATGGAATTAAATCTGTTGTGTATAAGTTACATAACATGTGATTTGAAAGTTTGCTGGTTTAAAGAATGGTGATAAGCGGTTAATGATTGGCTACAAAGCGTATGTTTAGTTTAGAATAGTCTCGTGTAATATGTCAGAAAATTGAAATTATGATGTAACATGGTCTTCGCTTTGTTACAGGCCCAACTGGTATCCTCGCATCGCAGTTTTATTGTACGCTGTGATGTCGTAGAACTCAGTGATGGTCTGAGTGGTCGTGGGGACAGTCTAGTCTTCTTCCTGTTCTCAGACATGATGGAGGTACATGTCTGGCTTTCTTTGCTTTTGTGAATAAGGCTGCAAGTTAATAAGCCAGGAGGGGGCAGTATATAGCTCTTTGGTCATATGTAACTGCTCATAGGATTTAGCCCAGTGGTCCCCAACGCGGTCCCCGCCAAGGCTTTTTTGGGTGCCCGCTTTGTTACGGAAAGAGGTTATACTGAATAATGAAGGCCGTTCAACCATGAACATTATAAAATCAAAGCGCAGATCTCGACTTACTGACGCCCATCTTGACAATTGTTTGCGAGCAGCAACATCCTACACTCCCAAATTTGAAAAATTGGCTGATGAAATGCATCACCAAACATCACACGAACTTCCCACTTGAGTAATAATAATTGTACTTATAAAACTACGTATTTTTGATTGCGTGGTTTCTTGTATCATTAAACGTCGTGTTGTTTTGTGTATTATTTGGTGTCCAGAGAAAAGAAAATTTGGCTTTGTTAATTGGTTGGTGCCCGCCATGATCTCATAAACTCTAAAATGTGCCCGTAGGCACAAAAAGGTTGGGGACCACTGATTTAGACAATTCAAGGCAAGTTAAGTTTCAATAATTGCTGTGAGTG